GCTTTCCTGGGACCCCCACCCAGTGATGGCAACAAGTGCAACCATTTGCCAGGACGGGGTCATGTGGCCACTCCCATGTGTGAGTAACACTGGGAGAAGTAGACTTCAATTAGGAAGGAGACAAGGAAACTGGGAATTGAGAAGGAAACCAGCAGAGTCGACCGCAGGGGTGGAGCCAGGATGGACCCCAGACAGTCCACAGAGGAGGGCTCCTTGGAAAAGCGGAGCAATGGCAGCCTCTCCCTTTGCAGGTTCCCTAAGAAGCCACTAGTCACCTAGGACTTAAACACTCCTTTGCTGTACATTATTCTGGAAAAGCGGGGATGAGGAGGAGAGGCTGGGTGGAAGACGTTTTCCCTGTTCAAAGGCCGGGAGCTCCCAGTCGCTCAAGGAATACAGACTCCAAGGAATCTCGACAGCAACACTTTTTCCAACAAATTTGTCGAGGTGGTGGTTTTAATAAAAACATTCAAAAGCTTAAGAGCTTCTTCCAGACTTACTAAAATTAACAGGAGCCCCGGAAAGAATCTGGCATTACCTCCCAGGCTTCCGACTTCTCCTTCAAATTGCATCTCTCCAAGTTTGTGGGTGGATAAAGCAAATGTTTGCCCTTGGAACACGCTGGTCTATTTTGTTGTTTGTGTGGCAACATGAGTTTGGATCCTTTTTTAAAAAATAGCTTCTATAAGTTTTGAAAAAGTAGCTCACAGGAGCTCAATCTTTGTTTACAGCACACCATACACACTTTAATGGGAAAGAGAGTTTTCACGAAGCTGGCTTCCTGGTTATAAACGGCACTTCTCGAAAATGTTTTTCAAAAGATAAAACTGCGTTCGAACATTGTTTCGTTCCTCCACCTCTTGAATTCTCAGTAATCCCAGGGCTCAGTCACTTTAAATTTTATTAATAGCAGAAATCTACTTCCCAGACCCAGAGAGAAAAAAAGAATAGGCGTGTCTCCACTTTTGGAAGTCTGATGTATTATAGTTAACCCAAAAGCATGCTAATTCGGGGGCAACCATTCCATTGACCGAGTCGTCTTCACTTTACAAAACATCCCTTCCGCAGAGAAGGCTTTCCAGAACTCCTTGACTATAGAGCGCCCCACTGACCATGCTCCAAGCTCCTGTTTGGCCCCAATCAAAACTGGGTTTGATGGTGTGGCTGTGACTCGGGTTTGTGCTAGTGGAGGCAGAAGGAGCAGTGTTAAGAACGGACTCTTGGAGCTGATGCTGGGCGAGAACTCAGCTTCACCAGGTACCAGCTGCATCAGCTTGGGTCAGTTACTTCTGCGTCTTTGCCTCCATTTCCTCACCTGTATGATGGAGCTGTGACAGTAGCTGCCTTGTGTGCGGCTGTGCAGAGGGGCAGAGCTGAAGCAGGGAGGAGAAGAGGTGAGGGAGTGGCGGGGAAAGACGTCCACGCCTTTGTGAGGACCTGGCCTTTTCCTCTGGTTGAAAAGGGAAATCACTGCAGGGTTTGGAGCACAGGAGGGACATGATCCGACTTCAGGGTTTTTTGTTTGTTTTGTTTTGTTTTGAGGAAGATTAGCCCTGAGCTAACTGCGGCCAATCCTCCTCTTTTTGCTGAGGAAGACTGGCTCTGAGCTCACATCCGTGCCCATCTTCCTCTACTTTATATGTGGGATGCCTGCCACAGCATAGCTTGCCAAGCGGTACCATGTCCGCACCCGGGATCCAAACCTGCGAATCCCAGGCCGCCGAAGCGGAACGTGCGCACTTAACTGCTGCCCCACCAGGCCGGCCCCCAACTTCAGTTTTTAAAAAGGCTCCTTCTGGTAGCCTTGTTGAGAATAGACTGAAAAGAGACAACAGCAGAAGTAGGGAGACCAGTGAGGAGGCCCCTGCAATAACCCAGGTGAGAAACAACGGTGGCTCGGACCCATGCAGTAGCCAGGGAGGTGTGAGAAGTGGTGGGACTCTGGCTCTGCTTTGAGGGTTGAGCCCAAAGACAGGCAGGTGAATAAATACAGGGTTAGAGGGAGCGAAGTCAAGGATGATTCAAAGGTTTCAGGCGTGAGCAAGTGGAAGGATGAAGCAGCCATGAACTGGGAAACTGGGTAGAACCATGACTGGTGGTGGTTTTTTGTTCTGGAGGGGAAAGAGAATATTTCTTTAAATAGTAATTGTGGCCAGAATGTTTCTTCCCTACTTCTGGTTTCTAAAAAGAAAGATTTCCTTCAAAACTCCTGGCTTCCTTCTGCTTCTCCCCCCAGTCCGCAGCTCTCCCCAGCGCAGAAGGGATCTCACGGTGGTGGTCTGCTTCTCCACCCAGAAGCCCTACAGAGGCTGCTGCCACCACCTCGCCATCCTTTGTGAGGAGGCCTCTGGGTGCTCAAGGCTGCCCGTGACTGGGTGGGGACGCCGAATACCGGGTTCCTATCAGGAAATCCATGCCGTTCCACACCTAAGCCACATCCTCCAAACAAGCCTTTATCAGTAATAATGCTGATATTTTGATCTCTACCTTTTTAAGTGGTTCAAAATCTAAAAAACAAGTGTGTTGTGTAAACCCCAACAATAAGCACCTTGGGGCATTTAAAATAACTATGCCTTTTGTCCAGAGTTTTACAGATCACTGGAACATCATAATAAGCCCCTTACCTCGGCAGTTAATCAGCAAATGAGTCCTCAGCACCTATCACCAAGCAAGCCCTCACAAGTAAGCACCACACCAGGCAATGAAGGGCGGGGGAAGGGAGGGGAGCCTGTATGACGAGCACATTCTCCAGCTGAGAAGGCAACTCAGAGAGTTAAGGACTTCGAAATAGACCACACCATCAGGAGGTGACAGGCAAGCACGCCACCCAGGTCTTTCGATTCTAAAGTCCACGCTCTTTTTCTATTTCTGAGCTGGGTGACCTCGAGCAAGTTACTTAACCTCTCTGTGCCTGAGTTTTATCATCTATAACACAGAGATTATAAGAGTGCCTACCTCACTGGGTTATTGTGAGGATTAAATGAGTTAATTGATGCAAAGTACTTGGAAGAATAACTGACACACAGTAAGCCCTCAATAACTGTCATCATCACCATTATCATCATCATACAAGCTGCCAATGTAATCATTAGGATAATAACCACCATTACTGAACACTCTGTGCCAGGAACTGTACACTCAGTGCTTTACATGCAGTAAATCACTGCAACCTTCCAACAGTCTATGAGTTTCGTCCCCATTTTACACTGGGGAATCTGAAACCCCAGAGAGCAAGGGTAAGTCTTCTGGCTGGAGCTCACACAACTACTAAGTGTCAAAGGCAGGAACTGAACTCAGGTCTTACTGGTTATTTGCCAGAAACATATTGACTGCATAAAATAAAGCCAGCTGGGTGTTTCTAACTTCTATACAAATGTGAAAAAGACACACAGAACCAAGGGCACCTCTCTGATACATGAAGCTCCTTGAGGCACCTCAGCCCAAAAGTACAAAAGGGAAAAAAAGCTCCCCGATTCTTCTTAACTTCATCCACAGTGTGTGATACTAATCAGCCAGACCACATCCTATACCCACCACAACCCAAAAACCCACTTCCTCCCCAGAACACATCCCAGGGAGCAAAAGTCAACATCCAGCTCCAGCTTCTCCGAGAACACCTTGTATATTGCCCCATGCGTGCCAGCAAGTAACCGAGCTGGAAAAACATTCTCCCAATGCCTGGAAAGGGATCAGAGGTGCCTTGGATGGAAATGCATGGCGTCTTCAACGCTTCGTACTGTTCCCAGCACCGGCTGAGCTGAGCCAAGCAAGTTAGCAGTGTCCTGTGGGATCCTGAGATCGACACCACGGACCAGAGACACGCTGGCCCCAGTGGCCTTTTGTGGACCTGACTTCAGGGACCTACCTTCATTACCTGACCCTGATGACCTGCTGGTGGAATGGAACCCTTATGCCCCCAGGCCAGCACGTGGAATGACAGGAGGTGCATCTGTCAGCACGCCTTGGAAGCTAACCCGCCTTGACCCTTGACGTATGGAGCCCAGGGGCCCTTCCAAGGATTTGGGGTTGGGGGGTGGCACTGTTTCTCACATGTCCATCATGAGACCAGCCCTCAAGCCTCCCAAGGCCAGAATTCACCAGAAACATTCTACAGAGGATGTGACTGTCACACTGGTCAGGGGAGCAGGGGGAGGGGAACAGAGGCCAAGAAAGCAAAGCAAGAGGTTGACTACGCATTAACCTCAGAGATCTGACAGGAGATTTGGGACTTCTCAGACTCCAAGAACCACTGCTGCCTCAAAAGCTTGCAGGCATTCAGCAAGGCAAAAACGCAGTCCACTGCCACCAAAAGAATCCACAGTCCATAAATGGCACGTCCTGAACACGCGGGAGGGGTATCTGCTGAGTGCCCACCACACGCCAGACACATGCTAGAGGCTTTCTAAAAGAGAGTATTTCCCGTAAAAATAGAATTTCCTGCTTCTCTTGGGGGTGGGGCTCAGAAGTTCTGGCAACGCTGAGCCACATTCTCACATGACAACAAGGGCTGGGGCGGAATGGTGGCCACCTTCTGAGGGCTTGACCCCTCCAAGTCAATACCAGTGCCCTCAGCCCACTTCCCTTGTTTATGTGGCTGCCAGGCCCCTGTAGGCTGGTGGCCCGGGCATCGTATAAAAAGTGATGTGAGATGGCACAGCTGCTCAGCCACCACTAGTTTCTACAATTCTGCCAAGTCTTTACTGCACTGTAAGATTTGGGGGACCACTTCCAGGTTACCTGGGGGGCACATGAAGGACATTTCATTGATGATGACAGTAAAGCAGAGCCAGCCCTCGTGGGTAAGCAGCTTGATATTCCCCCAGGCTCTTCTCCATGCCCTGAGGCCCCTGTCCCACCTCCCACCCTTTAAGATCTAGGCTCCCAATGATCAAATCACCACACCCCCAGAAGGATCAATGAAGGGATGCAGACGCGTGAGATCTACAGCCTCGCCTGGCCTCAGAGGCTCCTCCACCCAGAGGGTACAAGCCTTTGTCAAGTGGGTTGGGAGGTGCCAGGGGGCCTCACCGTCACAGCTCTGGCACTGACCCAAGAGCTAGAATGGTGAGGCCCTCCACCATTCTTCCAGGCTGAAGCCAGAAGGGGGTGAGGCCACCGCTGGGCTCCAGAGGATGGCCAGCATTTCCTGAAGCCCTGGCAGGGAAAAGATCTTGATTAATGAGAGAGAGGTCAGTGCCTGCCCCAAGGGAACCATATTCCCACATTTCAAGAACCTGAAAATTGTCCATCTCTGCTCCCAGCGCACACTCACAGTTGAATCATGACTTTATTACGTTGTAGAACAAGAAAATATACCAAGCCAAGCATCACTTTAGACGTGCTCTCTCACATCTTTCTAAACCCAGCCCCACCCTGACGGGATCTAGGGGCAACCTACCGATGTGTAGACACCTGAGTTCTAGACACCTGAGAGAGAACAGAGCAAGACAAAACGCTGCCCTCAGGAAGCACAGATACTTTGCCTTCATCCTTGGCTAGAGACGAGCATCACTACTGTGCTCATTCTCAAGACACTAACATCCTCTGAGTCCTCACTCTGTCCCAGCTTGCATGTCATGCACTCCGCTCTCACTGTCACATTCTGGTATGACAATTATCTGCCTATGTAACAGAAGAGAAAACTGAGGCTTAGCCAAGTTACAGTAACCTGCTCAGAGTCACAGAGGGAACTACCATCAAAGGAAGTCTGACTCCGGAACCCCAAGCTGCAAATGTCAGAGAGGCATCATTTCCCGACTTTCAGATGAGGAAGCTGAGTCTCAAAAAGTTTGTGTAATTTGTCCAAGAGGATCAAGGTAAGAAGAGGTCTCATTCCCAGGCCCACTTACTTCCACGCCCTCCTGGCTGCCTCTCCAGAAGCCTGTGTTTTCTTCGCTGTCTCCCTTTACAGCTGGGCTTCTCAAGCTCTGTAACGCTGGCATCTGGGGTTGCGTAACTCATCGTCGTGAGGAAGCGTCCTGTGCATTGTGGGGTTCTTACCAGTATCCCTGGCCTCTACCCATTAGATCCCAATAGCACCATTGGAATCCTCTGCTCTACAGTCATGACATCAAAAATGTCTCCTGGGGGCCGGCCCCGCGGCCGAGTGGTAGAGGTCGTGCACTCCACTTCGGCGGCCCAGTGTTTCGATGGTTCAGATCCTGGGTGCGGACATGGCACCGCTCATCAAGCCATGCTGAGGCAGTGTCCCACATGCCACAACTGGAAGGACCCACAACTGAAAATATGCAACTATGTACCAGGGGGGCTTTGGGGGGAAAAAGGAAAAATAAAATCTTAAAAAAAAAAATGTCTCCTGAAAACAACCCAAGTGCCCACTGACTGATGACTGGATAGAGAAGATGTGGTGTAGATATGCAACGGAGTACTACTCAGCCAGAAAAAAGACAAAATCGGCCCATTCGCAACAACATGGATGGACCTGGAGGTATTATGCTAAGTGAAATAAGCCAGACAGAGAAAGACAAACACCAGGTGATTTCACTCATATGAGGAAGACAGACACACGGACAAAGAGAACAGTTCAGCGGTTACCGGGGGAAGGGGCAGTGGGGAGGGCACAGGGGGAGAAGGGGAGCACCTATATGACGACAGCCAAGGAATAACGTACAACCGAAACTTCACAGTGTTGTAAACTATTATGAACACAATTAAAAAAAGCCAGCTATCTGAAGATATGACTGTCACAAAAGGAAAGCCTTCTTGCCAAGTCGAAAATACAGTAATTACAATGACATTTTATGATTTCCCTGGGAAAGTGTACATAATGCATAGACAATATGTAAAAGGCACTAAAGAGGGATTGAAAAGTCAAAAAAAAAGGTACAAACTTCCAGTTATAAAATAAGTAAGTCCTGGGGAAGTACTGCAGAGCATGGTGACTACAGTTAACAATACTGTGTTGCATGTTTGAAAGCTGCTAAGAGAATAGATCTTGAAAGTTCTCATTACAAGAAAAAGAAGTTATAACTATGGGTGATGATAGATGATAACTAGACATTTGTGGTGATCATTTCACAACGTATAAAAGTAGCAAATCATTATGCTGTACATCTGAAACTGTATATGTAAACATAAACCATAACATAATGTTATATGACAATTATATCTTAATTAAAATAAATAAATGAAATACGGCTACAAACAAAAATGTCTCCTGACATTGCCAAATGTCCCATGGGGGGCAAAATCACCCCCAGATGTCAACCACACAGGGTACCAAGGGCAGGACCCAGGACGGTGTGGCGGAAGAGGCACAAAGTAGCAGAGGAGCCCTGGGCATGAGCCCAGCCTTAAATCCAGCCCCGCCCCTTGGCACGCGCCTGGGTCTCCTCCTTCGTAACATAGGAATGATGCTGCATCTTCCTTGCCGGGCTGATGTGAAGAGTAAACGAAACTTGTTATGCAAAGCAGTTAGGTCAGTGGCGGGCTGAGTCAGTGCCCAACTGCTCTTAGTTACTGTTAGCACATTGATTCTGGCCGTGCAGCGGAGACCACCTCACCGTGACCTGGAAAACAGGAGCAGGTTTTTCCACATTTACAGATAAACACAATCATCAGAAACGCCATTTTCCTTATGCCATGGAGGGGGGAAAATGTGAGCAAGCGACTTCCTCTAAACCAAAAAGAAAGAAAGAAAGAAAACCACAGGCAGCTTGGCCTGGAAGTCAAATGTAAGAATCTTCCAGCTCGAGCCTGGATTGCAATGGCCCATCACACGGCCTTGATGCTGTGAGCCAGTGTGAGCACACACGTCCACACACGCGCATGTGCACACTCCTACACACACACCTCCCGAGCAGCAGAGCAGCCCCACAGTGACAGCCCTTTATGAAACTGAATTATCAGAAACAACTAAAAGCTCAACAACAGAAGAGTTAAATAAAACGGATTACCAGGGACACTGGAATATCACGCAGCTAACAAACCTGGTGCTTTAAAAGAACAACGATCAACATGAGAAAGTGCTCACCTACGACACTGAGACAGGCAAGACACCAAAAATTAGATGTGCGATATGAAAAGTTTTATAATGTATGATTTCTGGGGGATAAAGTCATAAGGAAATATGGTAAAATGTTAACAATGTTGATCTCTAGATAGTGGATTAGGGGATTTTTATTTCCTCTTTATAGTTTCCTTTGTCTCCCCAGTTCTGTGTCTACAATGACCGTCGGAGGCGGGAAAGCCTCGTGGGTAAGTGCAGGTTGCAATTCCAGCTCTGTCTCACCTGCGATGTGACCCTGTACCAGGTGTTTCACTTCTCCTAGTTAATAACTAGTTAATAACTACTAACCATAGCAAGGACTCTGAATGGCACAGCTATTATTACTACTTTTATTATCGGAGGGGGAGTTAAGCCCTGGAAATAAAAATAGCAGATACTATGGGAGAAAAAGATGTCATGAGTTAATTCTCTGTCACCCTAAAGGGGCTATCTTTGTACTACAAGAAGGTAGAAATGTTCACCAGGCACTTTTGCCAAACTCTTCTGTTAGAGTTACCAAGACTGACAAGTGAGCTATTGCCTGAAAACCAGCCACTCTCACGAGATGTACTAAACCTAAGCCCACGAGCAGGCCCCCACAAAGGCTGTCTGCCACAGAAAAGGGGCGCCCCGCCCCTCGGCTTAGACGTGTTGATGAAAAAGCGTGTGTAAAGGGATGTTGCAACTGACCCGCATTTATGACATAACAGGAGGGAACGCTGTTTCAGAGAATCCAAGAAATGGATTTATAATCTGACTGTATTATCCGAAAAGGAAAAAGTGTTCTCTAATTTTCTGTTCTTTTTGAGGTTTTTATAAATTGGATTTTCTCGGTACAAGGCATTTCGGCAAATTACACGCTCTAAGGTTTAATGAACTCTCCGAATAAATGCTCTGAGGTTCCAAATACAGCCTGTAGGCACTTAAGCGCTGAGAGGGATGAATGTGTGAACAAACAGGAACTCTACGTTAAGGAAAAGAAATCACGTTTGACAAAACGTGACGGGCTTACCGGCCACGTGTGTGAAAACAAACTCAGACGGGCTTGAGTACACACACCACAAAACTCGCCTTTCTCAAACCATTGACTGGAGCGGCGATGAAACCTGAGAGGCGAGTTCACTGGGGGCACTGGAGAAAGTTCTGGAATGTTCCATGCATGGTATAGTCTCCACGTGTCAGAAGACTCAAAGGTGGCCCTTCTTGTTTTCACCTGGTTCTTTTCAACAAAAAGCACTTTTAATCACACACTTCACTAAATCTAAGACTATGATTTTTTCCCAAGTTTCCAGTGCATAAAGACAAAACATTTTAAGGGGGCTTCCTAATGGGGCCTCTGAGAGACACGCAGCATAATTTAATTTTCATTGTGAAAGGTTATCTCCACATAAAGCCCACTGTCAGTCTGTCTTCCCACAGAGAGGCCTGTAGCTAAAGAGCAGTTCGGAGTTTTCTAAGATAGTCCCGATTTTAAACTTCTCCCTTCTTCCGTCTCTATACACTGAGCACCCTGGATCAGGTTTGAAATGGTTGCCATCACTCAGTGGTTCTCAGTCGGGTGCAACTTTGTCCCCTCAGGGGACACTTGGCAACGTCTGGAGACGTTTCTGGTTGTCACGACAGAGCAAGGCGAGGTGGGGTGTGGGTAGGGGGAAGGTGCTCCTGGCATCTAACGGTAGAAGCCAGAGATGCTGCGACTCATCCTAAATGCCCAGGACAGCCCCCACGACAAGGGATGATCTGGCCCCAAACGTCACTAGCCCCAAAGTTGACAGGCCCTACCATAACTAGAAAGCTTACGAGGAGAAAGCTGAGGGGGCCTTACAATAAAACTCCTGCCTCGGGACTGAGTGAAGTTAATTCCAAAGGGGAACTATGCTCCTTCAGGGAGGACTCAGCCCTCCACCATCGGCGGCACGAGCCTGGACACTGATGTACTCGATCCAAGCCTCTGTTTCTCAGGCTATAAAGTGGGGGCATTAAAACACCTGCCTCCCAAGATTTTGGTGAAAACGATGCTGGATTACATACATAAAGGGTTTGGAGCGCTTCAGTGTCTGTACGTCATAAACGCAAACTAC